CATTACATTCATTATTTTAAAAATAAATATTCATTTAAATCATGACCTAATTGTTAGTGACACGTAAAGGCGAGGACATGAGTCACTAATCATCGGGAGCAAGCATCAACAACCTCGACATTTTTTTCATTACCTATATCACGGAATGGACATGAGATACAAATATTCCAATAAGTGTAACATATATGATTTTATATTAAAACTTTTTATACATGAATGTCTTCAAAACTCTTTTCCTCATTTAGGCCCACTAGAAGATATTAACGCCGGTTAGTAAGGTCTACCCTCAATAAAAAACATGCATAAAAATATTAACCTCAATATTTAATAGTCAAATCTCAATCTTTAGACCTCGATGTTTATTCCTTGATAGGTAACCTTAACTTAATATGCATTCAAAAATGATCTCATTCGTTTACTTAAAACATTTTTTTCAATCGGCTTGTAAAACATATGCATGCATATAAATGCACCTCAAGACCATCACATCACGTCAATAAGGAGGAAATAATGGAACATCTTTTTATAAAGTCTTGGATTACTATGGAGGTGTAGGAGCATTTTAGTAATATTTTTAGCATCCAAAACTTCTTAGCCTCTCTAGATACTTGTATATAATTTTGGTTTGCATCAACAATGACACAATCGGGTATGTGCCGAGTTGGTTTTTTTTTTTTTGTCTTATTAGAAATCGAGAAAAGCAAGTGCAAGGCCAAGTATGAAGATAATCCTATGACGGTCGATGAGGTAATTAGGAAAGTTTATTAGGATCTTTTAGATATGTATAGTTTGCATATTCCAAAAGAGCCTATCAATCATATGGGTTGAAGAAGTTGTATCAACTCCATATTGTGTCTATCCATACTATGAATTATTTACGTGGGAGATGGTTGAAATGAAAACCTCTAAATCATGATAAGTTCAAAATGAATATTGATGGTTCGGATAGGGATGTAAGATACACGGGTGAAGGAGTGATTAGAGATACTTTAGGTGTTGTTATTACTAGTTTTTATAAGTACTATGGTAAGGGTACTAATACGAAGGCTAAAATTTTTACCCATCGTGATGGTTTAATCTTATCTAATGATCTTTTTTTGGATGCAATCTTGATTGAATCAAACTCCTTAATGGTCACCAATACCATTTTTGGAGTAAATTCGATCCTATAGTTTTGTACACATTTATTCTCAAAAATTTATGTGCAACCATACTATTTTACATGTTTGGAGGAATCAAAATATGGTAGCGAGACAAATTGAAAAATGAGGCATATTAGTATAAAGATGATTGTATTTTTAAAATTTATACTATGCTACCTTGGTCTATTAAAATGGCTTATCGACATGATAGAATGGGTCTATATAACTTTAGAAAGTAATCCTATTTTATAGGGGTTTTGACTTCTTTGTTATCCCGCATTGTTGGGTTAGATTGCATTTATCCATTCTTGTATTTTTTCCACGTTTTAATAAATTATCATGGTATTATTGCTTCTATTTGGTGAAAAAAGAAAGAAAAAAAGTTGTAAGGCTTGTCTTTAGTTTTGAGAGATGGAAAAAGAGACATATGAGGTGTTGCATTTAGAGTAGAGAAGGAAAAAGTGAGAGAAGAGATGAGAGGATGTTTGTTGTTTTGTGGAGTGCAAACAAAAAGGTGCAAGTTGGAATTAGAGGAGGAAAAAAGAAAGAAAAAAACATAGGTTGGAAAAAAAGGAAGAAGATGTATGATGATTTGCATTTCAGCCTTGCAAGCTATTTTTCTTTTCTTTTCATTTCAAATGAAATAACGTCATTTCAATTAGCCAAACATTTAAATTGGTCCTCTCATTTCTATACCTTTTTTATTTTAGTCCTTTGCCTTTCTTTGTTTTTCAATTATTTGCATTTCAACACCTTTCTTTAATCCTCCATCTTTTCCAATTTTCTCGATTGTGTCCTTATATTCACCTTTTCTTTTTCTCTTTTTTTTTTTTAGGATTCTTTTGTTTTTTTATTGGCTTAATGTACTAGAAAATCATGAAATATTTTTTTAATTATATTAGCTTGTTTTTTCAATTTTGGATAAAAATGTCATGAACTAAGCTTCGGACAAAATACTAGCAAAAGTGAATTTTTTCGACTTACATTCTAACCAAAGCTAACATAGTGTGTGATAGAGCATGACAACAGGAATAACTTTGTCATATAGGATTTCATGTAGGATCGGCATGACCTATTAACTATCTAATAACGAACTACATGTCATTCACTCTCTTCCTAACCCAATTCAAAAAAATCAACAAACCCAATTGAAAAAACCCTAACCCTCCCTAATCGAACTTGCCACATTTCATCCACTACCTCTAATAATGCCAACCAATAATAACCAAACGACCACCAATACCAACACCCACTAACACTAATGTCGATCCATCATTACCCATTACTACCACCTATTTCAACCAACCATGAACCCCTATTACCATTAAACGTCATTCTCTTTAATGATCCGGCCATTCACCACACCAATCACCATTGAAATCACGAACCCCCCACTCGAAGTGAAGGTCTATTTAGGTCAATCAACTTTAGTAGTAGCTTCATCCATCTTGTTCGACTTCAATAAGCTTAACCTTTCCTCAAATCACTTTAATTACTCTCATATCCCTTCTAGTTTTGGCTATCTTTCTAAGCTTATTTCTTTTAATCTTTCTAGTTCTTTTTTTTTTTTAGTCAAATCCCATCTAACATTTCGAGCCTATCGGTATTATCTTCTCTGGATTCATCTATGAATGATCAATTAATGCTTAAGAATCTAGATTTTAGAAGCCTAGTTTAAAACTTAACTTGCATAGAAGTTTCCAATCTCGATTTCATAGATATAAAATCATCAATCCTTTATATCTTGGCAAATTCTTCTTCTTTGGCATCACTTCGTTTGAAAGATTGTAAGTTATACGATAAATTCCCTACTAGGATTCTCCAACTACCTAAACTATATAATCATTACTCTCCTCCACGATCCAGCCATACCTCACATCAATCACTACCGAAACCATGAACTCCCGAGTAGTGGTGGTTGCTTCGACCGGCAAAAGGGGAGAAAGGGAACGACGAGTGGGTTGCTATGGGTTTTGGTTTCTTATGGGCCTATATAGTATGGCAATGAAGGTTTGTAGGTTTAGGTGTGTTTAAGGAAGATGACAACAACAAGGGGATGATTGGTGGTGGCAGTGGTGGTGAAAGAAAGGTGGTGGGCGATGGATAATGGTGAAGGGTAGGTGATGACGAGTGGTGAGTGGTGATGGTATTAGGATCTTTCTTTTTAATTGGGTTAGAGAGGGAGCGAATGACATGTAATTCATTGTTGGATAGTTAATAGATCACGTAGATCTTAAATGGAATCCCACGTGACAAAGTTAGCCTTATTGTCATGCTCCATTACACTCCATATCGACTTTGATCAAAATTTAAATCGAAAAAACTCACCTTTGTTAATATTACTATCGAAACTTAATTCGTGATCTTTCTCGTCCAAAATTGAAAATATGAGCTAATATGATTAAAAAGTATAAAGTTGATGATTTTATGATACATTAAGCCTTCTTTTTATGGTTTTTTTTTCTTTTAGCACTTTTTATTTTTATTTCTTTTTATTTATCTAATGATTTTTTTTTGTCTTTTCTCTAACTTTTTTTTAACTACTATTAAAATTTAAGAAAAATGGCAAATTTTCTAAATTTATCAAAATACCTAAAAAGCATGCAAAAATTATGAAAACTATGTAATATGCAAAATTTTTGGAATATGATTTTTTAAAAGAAAATAAAAATTATGGAAATATGTAAAACGAGTTATGACAATTGTTATGAGTATGTACGTCGGATGTAAAGAAGAGGTTGATGCTATTAAGGTGTTTGGTGAAACTCGCTAAATCAAATTTTGTTTCTTGAACTAATAGGATATGAACCATTGATGGTGATGAAGCTTTGATTCTGTTGTTGGGGTAGATAGAAATAGATGAGAGAGAGAGAGAGAGTAGTTTGGATTTTTTATATCTATTTTTTTTTCTTTTTGGCTATTATTTTTTTAGTATTTGTTAAATTTTTTTGCCACATGCTAATTTTATCTGATATTTCAATCTATCTATCACTTTTGTTTAGGAAAATGGCTGAAAATCCGGTGGAAGGATCACAATGACTAAATTTAGAGAGTATAAAGACTTGATAAATAAAAAAAGAATAAAGGGACTATATTAAGAAAATTTAAAGAATGAAAGAACGAATTATGCAATCCTCCAAAAATTCCCAAAACTGGACCAACTTGCCATAGCTGCCAATCTAAGGTTCAATTTTTACCCGATCAATCTGGTCAGTCAAACATGCCGTCTCCCCACACGTTAGATCTACATCACTTTCTATTAACACGTGTCATTCGTTTAATTGCCTGACCTTGTGGCATCTACGCCACGTGATCAACTCTATATGAAACCCCTAAAAACGTTAGAACCTCAAAAAATCATCTCTACCTTCAGATCGCTGCTCGCTTCCTTCTTTCTGACCAGATATTTTTCATTTCTTTACGGTCACGATACCGTTCGGTTAGTTTCTCCGATCTCATGATCTACACTTATCATCTTTTTCGATTTGATTTTACTGAATCCGTGTGATATAATTTGAGCTGATAGGTTTATTATTTTCATTTCTTAAGTGATCTGAAAATGAAGTTTTCTCTAGCTTTCTCGGCATCCGAACAGAGAGTTACTGAATTATTTTACGGATTTTATCCAGATATGTTTTTTTAGCTTTGTATAGGCTGTTCGCGATTGAATTGAATCTCATGATCCTATAAATTATAGATATTAAGCTTGATTTTTGAAAGTTTTAAATCCTTTTAGTAAATGTAATTGTAGTGATTTTTTTTTTTTTTGATGTTGTTGGAGACATTTTTATCATTTCTGTGACTTTTATAATCTTGATTTAATTACATCTATCTATTATTTACCTGTAGGCTGAATAGCTAGGGAAAAAAAGATGGGAGGTGGATTTAGGGTGCTTCATCTTGTCAGACCGTTTCTGTCATTTCTTCCTGAAGTTCAGAGTGCTGACAGAAAAATTCCATTTCGTGAGAAGGTCATATACACTGTGATTGCTCTTTTTATTTTCTTGGTATGCAGTCAACTCCCGTTGTATGGCATTCATTCGACAACCGGTGCGGATCCTTTCTATTGGATGCGTGTTATTCTTGCTTCGAACCGTGGTACTGTCATGGAACTTGGTATCACTCCAATTGTGACATCTGGACTAGTGATGCAACTGCTTGCTGGTTCAAAGATCATTGAAGTGGACAACAACGTACGTGAAGATCGTGCACTATTGTAAGTATCTTTGGTTGGCTAAATTCTTGTGGATTGCTATGTCAGTAGAAGTTGTTTTGCGGTCTATGTGCATTCTGTGATGGGGGCCTCTTAAAAGTGTCTTGTGGTATATATTATATTATTATGCATGTTGTCATCCAAGTGGCATTGCTGGTATTTCGCTTATTGCCATTGGGTTCCCAATTCATTGTAGTGGTCTTTTTATGAACAATGAACTTGGAAAAGACTCCTAAAAGAGGCCTAAAATTCACTTGGATGTGACAGCTATTTGATAATCAATTTTGAAATGTATAAATTGTCGTTGTTCATTAATTTTGGTTGGCTGGTGATTTGCAATTAATTGTACTTCATTTTCAGTCAATTTCTAAGATAATTTTGTTCCATCTTGCACCTTGTGATCATGGATGCTCGCTCCTTACTTGGGGCTCACCCTCATCAGCAAACACTAAGATGGCTTTATCTTTTACTTTCCGTGGCAAATGCAACTTGCTCATGCTATTTGCATTGACTTGATGAATGCTTGCTTCTCACAGGAACGGTGCACAGAAGTTGTTGGGTATCTTGATTGCTGTTGGTGAAGCAGTGGCATATGTGCTGTCAGGCATGTATGGCAGTGTTGGCCAACTTGGAGTTGGAAATGCCATTCTTATCATCATTCAGCTTTGTTTTGCTGGGATCATTGTGATCTGTTTGGACGAGCTTCTCCAGAAAGGATATGGTCTGGGCTCAGGGATTTCCCTTTTCATAGCGACCAATATCTGGTGAGTTCTATTCTTCTGTTTGTGGTCCACTAGTGAAATTTCCTTTTCTATGTTGAGTATTGTGAGATTAGGGTCCTTTGTGGAGTTGATCTTTAATATCTCTACCTAACTTAAAGAGTGTTTCATTCATTTTCAGTGAAAATATTATCTGGAAAGCATTTAGTCCAACCACCATTAACAGTGGACGAGGTGCTGAATTTGAAGGAGCTGTCATTGCTTTATTCCATCTGCTGATAACCCGAACAGACAAAGTTCGTGCTCTCCGTGAGGCATTTTACCGGCAGAATCTTCCGAATGTAACAAATCTGCTTGCTACAGTCTTGATCTTTCTCATTGTCATCTACTTCCAAGGGTTCCGTGTGGTTTTGCCTGTGAGGTCAAAGAATGCTCGTGGACAACAGGGTTCATATCCAATCAAGTTGTTCTACACCTCTAACATGCCCATTATTTTGCAGTCTGCTCTTGTATCTAACCTGTACTTCATCTCCCAGGTACTGAGGTTGTATGGTTTTATGTACTGCTTGAGATTTGGTTTTCCAGTTCATCTGTTAACTTGCTTGTTTACAGTTGCTGTACAGGAAATACAGTGGAAACTTCCTTGTGAATCTTTTGGGCAAATGGAAGGAATCTGAATATTCAGGTGGCCAGTTCGTCCCTGTTGGTGGCATTGCATATTATATTACTGCACCCTCAAGGTGACTGACATTGTTTTTTATTCCAGAATTGTTTTTGTCCATCTGCTTTATTTACCTGCATTGGTTCATGAATAAATTTTCTGCCTTATATTTGTTTCACAATAACCCTCTGCTGTTGGCAACGCTAATGCTAGTTTAACATGTTCCTTCTACCATTTTGCAGCTTAGCTGATATGGCAGCAAATCCTTTCCATGCACTTTTCTATCTCGTGTTTATGCTGTCAGCCTGTGCCCTATTCTCAAAAACTTGGATTGAAGTATCTGGATCATCTGCCAGAGATGTGGCCAAGCAGCTCAAGGTATGTGGGCCTTTTTATTTCATATGTTATATAATGAACAAAATGTTTGCTTTTAGCGCAACACTTCTTTTTGGCTTTGCGGTGCATAATATTCTTTCAGTTTTACCTTTTGTTCTGGTTGCAATTTTTTATCGTAGAGTTTTCAGTCCATTTGGGACAAATCTCGTCTTTGTGGTTTGGTTGTCTTCTCTAGGTAGTCAAGGGAGTGGATCACTTGAAAGTCTTGTGTTAACTTTATGCATCTTAGATGTCACACAACCGAACTCCATAAATTTGGTATGTGGAGCGTAAGCAGGTGACCTTATAGTTGAAGAGAGTCTTGAACAATCTTTGAGTCCCATGTTAGAACTGAAGAGTAGTTGGATCCACTTAAAATTTGATTCATTTATTTAATACACGACAATGTTGTGTTGACTATCCCGAATTCAACAGTTACGCAGGCTTTAATTTGCAATCAAATATATGTAGTGGGTGTTTGGTATATTGATGGCTTATTATAAGCCACCGGTAAGGCACCTACAGTGGAGAGCTCCAATTCGAGGTATTTTGCACTGTAGCTTCAGTGGCATATAAGTCACCACAACACCAATCGCAACCGTTGCCATGGTTCGTTGTTGGTTTGATTTATGGATGTGCTGGATTTTTGCTTCCAGACCAAACTCGACCTGGCAACATATTTATGTAGAAAGCAAAGATGGTTACGTGTCTTGAGGTGTCAAAATGCACATACAAAGTACTTGAAATAATGTTAAGGTCTAATCTAATGATTTCATTGGAATTTGAATCTGATTGGTAGCAGCTTGATTGTGTTTTAAAGTATTTCCAAGTATTTAAAGGCACTGTGGCTATTGTTTGTATAATTTATTTCATATAATTGGTTAGTAGGTTGGCTATGGTTTTAGACTGTGAGCCTGGCCTATTATTAACTTAACTTCTAGCTGTCTCCGTGATGTATTTAAGTGGAATTGATTGGGAAAGACATAAGTCTCCATGTTCAGTTAATAGATTAGAATGTGATTAGGCAAAGTTCATGGCTTTTGGTGAATCCATCCTTTGCCATTTTAGGAAGTTTCCTGTTCTGATGCATGGTTATGAAATGGGAGCTGTGTAGTTGATGTTTCGGAATTTATAAACATAGGCAGCCTGACTAGGTCATGCAGGATCCTTCCTTTTCTGAATTAATGTAGAAAAAATGACATGTTCATCAGCTTTCTGTTTTTGCATATTCCTAGGACTATATTTATTTTTGTACATATGCACTAGCACCTTTCGACAGATCTGAGTTCCTTATCTCATGATATCTGAGCCCAAATTTTGCTAATTTACCCGCATGTGGTCCATATTGTAATGGTTCCAAATGTGTTAATGGACAGTATGTACTGGTCTGGAGTTCCCAACTACCATTTAGTGGTCATTTTGACTGTTTCCCATCTACGTTGGATAATCATAGTTTAGTGGCACCTGATGTTTGGAATTAATAACTGTCTCTGAATTTGTTTTGGTCAATCTCATTGGTGAAAGTCAATCTCCCTGAATGTCTTTGGACACTCTTTCTGCCTCTTCCTCTTCCAAAACCAAAAAGACGAAAGAAAACACTGACGCTAGTAATTTGAACCATGTTGACATCTTAAGAAAACTGAATTGCACATTGACCCTGGCATATTATTTACATAATACATTTTGACATTTTAAAGTTTAGCTATTCTCCAAGCCATGGACAATGAATGTGGAATTCCTGCAAGGGTTGTTCACCTTAGCCTGCCTTTAACAGAGATGGAAATTGAGATTGAATTGTCATCCTCATTGAGTGTAGAATTTTAATTTCTCAACATTTTGGAAGCAAAGAGTTCATTGTTTTCTTTACAAATTTTGAATGGAACAGATAGCTTAGACTGGGAAGGATATTGACCAATAATAAAGGGTAGAAATGGGGGAGCACTTTGTGGCAGCCTAGAGTCTGTTAAATTACAAGCTTCTCCTGGTTTGATTTGTATCTACCTATAACATGTTAACTCTGGATTGAAAAGTCTGTCTGTTCCTTTATATTTTGCTTTATCAGAAGCCTTCTAGTAATAGTGATGGCTGTCTGTGGGTATTTTCAAATAAAACAAATTCTTTCCAGGATCAACCATTGAAGTGTGCAGCTAGCTTTGGATGATTGCTGTGCATTCCTCTTTATTTGGACAATGTTTTTCTTGCTAGCCGTATTTAGAGATATTGAGACTTTTGTTTCGTTTTTTCTCTACTACTGCATTAGCTCCTGCCTCAACTATTACCCTAATCTCATCATGTTTTATTTCCACAAAAATTATGAAAGTTCAATTTATGGGGATTCACAAGCATTCAATGGGTCTAGATTTACTGAGTTTTATCAGCTTCACATGTTCATTAACATGGTTTCCATATGCAGGAACAACAAATGGTTATGCCTGGGCATCGGGAGTCCAACTTACAGAAAGAGTTGAACCGTTACATACCCACTGCTGCAGCTTTTGGAGGCATTTGCATTGGTGCACTTACAGTGTTGGCAGATTTCATGGGAGCTATCGGTTCAGGAACTGGAATACTACTTGCAGTTACAATCATTTATCAGTACTTTGAGACCTTTGAGAAGGAAAAAGCTAGTGAACTCGGCTTCTTTGGTTTCTAAATTAAATGTCTTCTAGAGTGACGGATGGTGGTGGCAACGAGCTCCCCTGCAATTTTGTTGCGCTTAGAGATGTATGGAGGTCCTCTTGACACCAAAGGTTGAAGTTAGAAGATATCTGGGTAGTTCGATAAAAGTTAAAAAAGTACAGATATGCATCACCTTAAGCTTAATGTTTGTTCTTTTATTCTCCTTCCCCTGCTCCATTAACTGAGTTTCTCATGTATGGGTGGATCTATGAGTGCATGCTCCTGGTCCTGGGTCCTACGAATCTAAGAATTTTTTTTTACTCGTCTAAAACTTCTAATGACAATGGAAAGAAATGAGCAGGGATTTGTGCGCTTCATGTTAATGAAAGCTTCTTGAAAATAACTCGTGTTCACACTGCAAGGTTTTGATTTAGTAAAACAAGTAGTTGTTGACTTGAATGTTTCAAGTAATGGGTTTTTTATTTTTTAGCTATCATTTGTAACCTGTTAGAAATCTTCATTTTGTATTTTGTGGCGTCTCTGCCTCTAGTGAAATGCAACAATTAAGTCATGGGTTGAATGCTCTTGTTTTGTTGGTGGATAGTATCTGGTGTTGCTGTTTCTCTACCACTTCGTGTTTCTCTTGGCAACGTCCTGGTGAAGTCTTGGATTGTTGTTACGAAGGGGCGTTTTTAATCTGTTCGTTGTTATGACCCTGCAATGGCGATTGGCGAGCTTTAGAAGGTTGTGGGTTTTTTAAAGCCCACCAGTAGTGGGGTGAGATTTTATGGTCTGGCTCTGGCCCGGCTGATTGTAGATTTAATCGTGTATCCCCACAAGGCTTTTCGAATCTGAAAAAGAATGACGGAGACGTTCATGACGGTGGAGATGATGATAAACGGGCGAGAGTGGATACAATCTGAAAGTTGGAAAACTGTAATGCAAAATTAATTTGGTATATGTTTCAGAAATCAAGCTAGTGGTCCGTTACTTCTCCTCTATACATCTCAAAATTACACACCAGTTGGGAAATTGCTGTCATTCAAGCTGACCCGAATTACTGTGGGAAAAAAAATAATGCAGAGAAAAAAAATCCTTAATAAAGCGTCCAGTTGGGAAATTACTGTCACTAAAGTTCACTGAATTACCGTGGGAAAAAAAAAACGAAGAAAAAAAAATCCTTGATCAAGCGTTAAGAAAAATGGTAATAAATTGGTGTCGTCAAAGTTGACCTGTGTTTTCACGACGAATTATTTGTGATGATAGGTTCTGCGGGTCTGCTACTCTGCTTGTAGCTAATAGGCCTTTCCTTAATTACAAAGAATCCTAAAAAAAGAAATTTTCACTATTTATATACTATTTATGTTCTCACAAAATATTATTCATTTAATAGTATTTTGGTAATTTAAAAAAAATTGTTTTTTGTTATTTGAAGTGTTTTTCAGACATTTATTTCGTCTGCAGTAGCATTCACTCTCCTTTTACTAGGCATTGAATGGTTTTTTATTTTGTTATTATTTATTTATTTTTTTTATGTAAAATTTTGCTCAAAGCGTTCTTTCATCCTTTATTTTTTCAATAAATTTTATTTCGATTCACAACTTTATTTGTATTATAATTTATTCTCTAACTACTCGGACGAGAAAAAAACAAAGAGAGAGAGGAGAGAAGAGAGAGAGATTTATGTATGAATTTTTAGAATATTATTATTTGCTTTTGAAAAAATTTTGATATAATTTATATGACAATTTTTTTTAAAAAAATTAAATGATAGTAGCATGGTTATATATATATAACAATTTTTTTAAAAAATAATAATTTACATGTATATATAGATTTAATATAAAGATTAAAAGTTTTTTTTTGATAATTTGTTTCAGATTTTTTTCAGAAAAAAAATATATATAAAGGCTTTTAGTGAGGAATCCATGGATTTTTGAATTTTCTCACAAGTTTTTAGTCAAGAATCCAAATATAAAAGAATAAATCATGTTCTTTTTTAGCAAAAAATTTATGAAAAACATAATAAATAATTAGTTAAACACATAATTAAAAAAAAAAGTTTTATTTTTTACTTTTGATTTGATATATTTTAGTACATGCATAATATAATGTATACTATCAAAATAAAATTATTTTTTAAAATAATTTTAAATGTTTTGTTTGATGATTTGCAGCATAACATGAGTAAAAAAACTAGTGTGTTCTAAAACCTGAAGGCATGAAAAAGGCACCAACGTCCTAATTAAGGCATAGAACTGGAGGTAAGAAGTATGAACATCCGGTTGAACTCTAATGAATGCTCTTTTTTTTTTTTCAACGATTTTGAGTTGTTGTTTGATTAACAAAAATTCCAAAATATAATTTATAAATTGAAATTGTATTTTTATCATGATACTGTATTTGGAATAGTATTAAGAAATTAGAACGAAATTTAAAATTTTTAATACATGGTTTTTAAGAAAAATTAAGAAAATAATTAAAAAAATAATTTCATCAATTATGATGATAATAAAATTAATATAGGTGGTTTCAATGGTAGTGGTGGATGAAGAGGAGGTGACAAGTGGTAGCAATAAGAGTATATGTATATATTAAAAATAATGCCATCATCGTAGAAGGTAATAGTGAAAGAAGAATGATAGTGACGTAAAAAAAGAATGATGGCTGAATAATAATAATAATAATTTTTTGAATTTGTTTTATTACTATTATTAATAAAAGTGGCAGTGGTTGTGTCAATGATTAAGGTTGTGATGATAATAAAAATAGTTAATATATAATAAATAAAAATAATATATGTTTATTTTGAGAAAAAAAATCTCATTTTTATTGTTATTCCCACATTTCTTCATGTAAATGCAATTACATTTAGTTTTTATTTTTATTGTCTCTTTATTTTTATTTTTATTTTATTTTTTTAATAAAAAATCAATAAAATAAAAATAAAACTTTCATTTTCATTTATTCTATTTCATTCTTTATTACCAAATAATAACATAACGGAACGAAGAAGGCAACTGCAACTAATATAAATGCTACAATACAGTTAGCTGTAGATATATGAATATAAAAAAGTGTTGTCGACTAATCTACTAGTTCTTTGATTGTGATGCAATGAATCCTTCGATAACCTAAAACACAATGTTAGATCAGAGTTGAGTTTCATCAGCTCCTCTGATGCTCAAGTCAGTATCTCTTTCGCGAGAAAGTAATAAAACGTGTCGTGTGTGCGTTACTAATTACTTTTTGTTTATTTGTACCTTGCCCCCATAAGCTTCTCCTTGGTGCTTGTTCTCTTTCTATAGTTAGGGCATTATCCTCATTTCATTGATAATGCATAACCACCCTATACTTGCAAGGTATACCATATACCATTTACAGTTGTTTTTTGCAGTTCTCTCTTTGGTCCAATTATTGAATCTTGGTATTCCATTAACAAATTTGAAAAATCCATAGGATGCCATGATTTTGATGGGACATTGGTGCGTATAGAGCTGTAAACAAAAGCTTGTAATTCATTCACTGTATCTTCAGCTAAAGTTTGTCTTATCATATCAAACTCTTCCATGCCCATGTGGTGCTGGAAAACTGGCCCTATTGCCCTGAAAAGAAGGGTAGGAGGAGGAACAATTGGCACCACTTGGTAATTATTTCTACCTCATAGCTCTGATTTTGCTTTAGAAAATGCTTTATGGTCTTTCAGAAAGAGCACGTAAAAAGAAGGGTAGATAGGGCCAAGGTAAATCAGAAAAAGTATGTTCTAAATTCAAAACTTTCCGCGTTCTCGTGAGTATATTCTTTCTGCTAATAATACCAGAATTCTAGCTGGCTACCTATTGCCCAACACTTGCATATTGTCTTTAGACTATGATGAAGCTTTCGTGGTGCATGCTGTTTCAAAGGTGTCTCAAAGAGGCATTATTAAATAACTGCTATTCATCAAAAGAAAAAAAAAATCAAAGAAAATAATTAACTGCTAGTATTTAACGGAATTGGGGGTGGGGGGGTTGTTGAAGAAGAAGGGAAAGACAAAGGACACATTAGTGTCCCCAAACTATAATGTATGTTCCAATTGAGTCCTCCCTCTTGGATGGTTAGTTCAATCAATTGCAATTGCGTCAATTCAATTTCAGCTTAGTTAGGATAAAGATATGAAGGGGTGTTTGAAAATAATCACAAACTTCAAGGGGATCTTACAAGAGTTAAGAAATCATTTTAAAAAAAAAAACTCTCAATGAATTTTGTTATGTAGTGTAGAACAAAATTAAAATGTGAAACTACTGAAGAAAGTTAACAACTAAAACAGAGTAATAAAAATAAAAACAAAATGGAAATCTAGGGGGATAAAAGAAAAAAAATATAGCAGTACTTAAGGAAGAAATTAGACAAATCCCAAACCCAAAGAGGTGTTTTGTTTTTCCCATGCAGATTTTTTGGGTTTAGCTTTTGATTTTTAGGTGTAATAATTGTTTAGCACTTTATACAAACCTAGCAATTTCAATGAAATAATTTTTTCGCAACACCATGATAGCGACACTCCCCAAGCAACCTTCTTCTTGACCACAGGCCTCAATATTTTATTGGTATTTTGAGTTTTTGAGACTTTTGAAGAAGAATATTTTGGTAATGGATGCAAGTTATAGAAGACTAGTTGATAAATAAAAGTACAATACTTCTTCGCATAAATAAATTATAGCTAGTTGAGGCTTCTTAATCTTAACATAAATAATTCCGGCAATTCCTTTCGTATCACATAATCTTCTGAGTCACGACAAGGACAACCTTCTTGTCATTCATTGCACTGGTCTAAATCTAATTAGCATCAATCTCGCATTAATAGTCGGTTTCACGTATCATGCTCATGCTCGGTTTTTTTCACTCTTTGGGTTTGCTGTTAATTACCATTTCGACTAGTAGCATGGGCATATTAGAGCAAATGATCAATACTATAAACTTTCCCCCTCTGAAAAAATACAATAAAACAAACTTTTCTGTCTTTATGTGTTTTTTTTTTAAATGATTTGTGCTTCT